TTAGGATCGATAGGGGTCTTAATCCTGATCATATCGGTATAATTTTTTTCGGGTGGAAATAATATTTACTGGTGTTATTGTAGTTCAAAGTACACAAATGTAGAAAAAGCACATCGATATTTTGATAACGAAAATTTTTAATAAAAAATCACGATTTTTTATTAAAAATTTTTGCCTGCGACGATTTTTCCATAAAAATCAATACTTCGATTTTTTATTAAAAATTTTCGCCTGCGGCGCTTTATCCATAAAAATCAATACTTCGATAAAAATTTTTCCCTGCGACGATTTTTCCATAAAAATCAATACTTCGATTTTTTATTAAAAATTTTTGCCTGCGCCGCTTTTTCCATAAAAATCAATACTTCTGTAAATAATGAAAATTTTTAATAAAAAATCGCGATTTTTTATTAAAATTTTCGCCTGCGGCGCTTTTTCCATAAGAATCAATATTTCGATAAATAACGAAAATTTTTAATAAAAAATCGCGCGATTTTTTATACAAAATTTTCGCCTGCGGCGCTTTTTCCATAAAAATCAATACTTCGATAAATAAAGAAAATTTTTAATAAAAAATCGCGCGATAAAAATCATAAATCATAAATCCCATAAAAATCAATACTTCGATAAATAACTAAGTTAACATTTTTATTACAAAATCTCTCCATTTTAGACTGAATCACTTTTTTTTATCAATACATCGATATTTAATTAAAAAAAATTAATTACAATGCCCGTTTTTAATGTTCCTCGTTTTCAGTGCTTTTTTTTGGCATTTTTTGTTTGTGTGGCAGCACCCGCATTACCCGCATTGGTTTACGAAGCAAAAAGTGAGGTTGAAGTTGACATTTTTTGCCACTTAAAATTCAATTTTCATAAAAACTATAAGCCTCCTGAGGGTGGGGTTTTCAGATTTACAATCACAAAAAGCCGGTCTAAACCCCCTTATTTTTTTTTTTAATAGCCGCGTTCCGTATTGGAAAATTTTCCCAATTTTGGAAATTGATTCCTTTAAAATATGTATTTCTTGTTTCGCACCGTGAAACAGTTATTGTAATACATTTTTCTTAGTTCACTTGTTTATACAGTTAATATGTGCATACGATAGTACCGTGTCAACGGTACACTTTCACATTTCCATTTGATCGCAATTTTATTTCTTTATGTCCACGTGTATTACTTGAAGAAAGTAATTTTTATTTAATAGTATTATATTCCCTTGATTCAAAATTTTGATTTACATTTAATGAAGCTTAATTTAAAGCTGTATGTTATTTTTAATGAAACGACATCATTTTTGTGTATTTTAATCTAACATTTGGTTTATAAAAACTCGACAGGTCAGCGCGACCATACTCGTCGAGGAGCCATTTTGAGCCGACTGGAAATAATTACTGGTGTTATTGAATTTCAAAGTAGAGAAACGTAGGTATTCTGCACTTATTCCCAAATTTTGTTATTATATACCTGAACTAATCAATTCCTTTTGAATGGGTTTCCATTGTCGATAAGAAATAAGTTTCGGGTCTACTCCAACATCACTTCCTTTAGGCAAATTGTTGGAGAGCCATTTACCAACAGATGGCGTTTCCGGAATACCATCCCTCATAAGTTCCCAGTTTGTATTCATCTGTTTTTCTGCTTGTTGGTAGTATCTTCCATCCGTCCACATTAAAGCCCTGTTTAGCGTAACTACTGCTGTTCCGGACGATCCATCAAAACCACTTACGAAAGTCCTTCTCGCATCGTGTTGGCAAATATATTCATTTTGATGGGCATCGTCAGTTGGAATAATATAAGCCTGTAAATTATGAGGCTCACATTGCTTCATAAGAGATCGTAATTTTTTTAGAACTTCGTTACACACATCCATTTCTTCAACTATTTCGTTAAAAGCAGTCCTATTTGAAGTATATATATATACTTTAATCTCCTAAATAAAATACAAATAGAGATTATTCCAGATAATTATTCCCGATAAGATTCACGTACTCAATAGTAATAGGCATGGGTAACACTGCGCTGCGCGGCGCAATTGCGTTAACACCGTATCCGGAGTTGCCGAGCCAATACCAGTATATGGAAAGCGCTAGCGCCATTAACACCAAGCAATACATGAAGCACACACACCATTCACCTTTACTCTATGGAAATTTACACCTACTTTGTTTTTGCTTTTGTGTGTTGAGAACGCAAATTTAAAGCTTTTACTCAAGAATGATAGAATATCGTGGCATTTACTACATCCCTAGCAATTAAATTCAGTTGGCGGTACAAGCGTTGCTTAGCGTACAAGCGCTCAGCGAAAATTATAGAAATAATAGACATGACACCACTGTACTGCACTGTATGACGATGGGTACTGTGGTGACACTCAGATGGTGCCGTGTTCAATTCAGTACATTGCGCTATTGCGCTGGGTTAGTGCGCTGACACCACAGGTGGTGCTGGCGTTATTGAGCTAGCGCCAAAAAATTGCGCATGACCCATGGCTAAATAGTAATGAGCTGAAGTAGGGACACGAATTTCGATACGATACGATACCATATCGATACTTTTGGCATTCGATACCGATATTTTCTACTCGATAGTTTTCAACGATATTATTGGAATCGAGTACCAGAACCCTAGTATCGTATCGAATGTAATAAACTCACTGTTCAATATTATTGCACTAGGATTGTTCTATACCCTGCAAAAATCGCGACTACTCCATGCATGCATGTAAAGAGTACTCCCGAAGGACCAAGGAGTACTCCAAAATTACCACAATTCATATAAAAAATA